GCACCCTTAAACTCTTGGGCTCAAGTGATTCTCTTGTCTCAGCCTCCCAAGTAGCTGGGACTACAGGCGCCTGCCTCAATGCAGGGCTATTTTTAGAGATGGGGTCTTACTCTGGCTCAGGCAATCCACCCACCTCGGCCTCCCAGAGTGCTAGGATTATAAGCGTGAGCCCCCAGGTCTGGCCTATATTTTGTATTTCCTCTTCTCCATTGTCATCTTTTCTTCTTCCTCTTCACTTTCTTCCTCAGAACAACTAATTTTACGTTCCACCCCAACAAATTCTTCCTATATTCTATATGAACTAGTGAAAATGTCCTCATCATTTCCTTTAAAATCTGACACTATGAGTTCTTCTATCTCAGCTACTGACAAATTACATTGCCTCTTTGCCATATTTGTCTCTGTGTCATGAGAAAAAAAGTAAGTCATTGCTTGACATAAAGGGATTTACAGAATTATCAGAATCTGTAAATTGTGTCATGAGAAAATCAGAGAATTACAGAATCTGTATTTTCAGTGATATGAACCTTGATCTTCACCAAACACAAATATACTGTTTACTAACTTCACCATGAAAACACTTAGAAAAAAAATAGAACTTTTCCTGGAAAACATACTGCAACCCATCACTGGCAATAAGAAGTAACCAGAACTGCTGATCCAAAAGTACTGATATGCAGAAGTTTCATGGATGGGTGGATAAGGGTCTTTGACCCTTATCAAAAGTCTTGATCGGGGTATGTTGGCTCACACCTGTAATCCTAACACTCTGGGAGGCTGAAGCCAGTGGATCACTTGAGCTTCAAGAGTTCAAGACCAGCTTGAACAAGAGTGAGACCCTGTCTCTACTAAAAAACAGAAAAACTAGCCAGGTGTAGTGGTGCACACATGTAGTCCCAGCTACTTGGAAGGCTGAGGCAAGAGGATTGCTCAAGCCCAAGACTTTGAGGTTATTGTGAATTACACCACAGCACCTTACCCAGAGCAACAGAGACTCTATCTCAAAAAAAAAAAAAAAAA